ATGAAAGAAATTGAAGACAACACAAACAGATTGAAAGATATACCCTGTTCTTGGATTGGATGAATCAATATTGTTAAAATGACTGTACTCCAAGGCAATCTACAGATTCAGTGCAATCCCTGTCAAATTACCAATTGCATTTTTTACATAAGTAGAACAAAGAATTTTTTAATTTGTATGGAAACACAAAAGACCCCAAATAGCCAAAGTAATCTTGAGAAAGGAGAACGAAGCTGGAGGAATCAACCTCCCTGACTTTGGACTATACTACAAAGCTACAGTAATTAAAACAGTATGGTACTGGCACAAAAACCAATCAATGGAACAGGATAGAAAGCCCAGAAATAAACCCATGCACCTATGGTCAAGTAATCTATGACAAAGGAGGCAAGAATATATAATGGAGAAAAGACAGTCTCTTCAATAAGTGGTACTGGGAAAGTTGGACAGCTACATGTAAAAGAATGAAATTGGACCATTCTCTAACACCATAAACAAAAATAAACTCAAAATGGATTAAAGACATAAATGTAAGACTATAAAACTCCTAGAGGAAAATATAGGCAGAATACTCCCTGACATAAATTGCAGCAATATCTTTTTGGATCTGTCTCCTAGAGTAATAGAAATAAAACCAAAAATAAACAAATGGGACCTAATTAAATTTAAAAGCTTTTGCACAGCAAAGTAAATCGTAAACAAAACAAAAAGACAATCTACAGAATGGGAGAAAATATTTGCAAATGATGCTACATACAAGGGCTTAATTTCCAAAATATACAAACAGCTCATACAGCTTAATATCAAAAAAACAAACAACCCAATCAAAAAACGGGCAGAAGATCTAAATAGACACTTCCCCAAAGAAGACATATAGATGGCCAACAGGCACCTATGAAAAGATGCTCAGTATTGCCAATTATTAGAGAAATGCAAATCAAAACTACAATGAGATATTACCTCTCACCAGTCAGAATGGCCATCATTAAAAAGTCTACAAATAATAAATACTAGAGAGGGTGTGGAGAAAAAGGAACCCTCCTACACTGTTGGTGGGAATATAAATTGGTGCGGTCACTCTGGAGAACAGTATGGAGGTTCCTTAAAAAACCAAAAATAGAGCTACTGTATGATCCACCAAATCCCACTCCTGGGCATATATCCAGAGAAAACTATAATTTGAAAAGATACATGCACCCCAGTATTCATAGCAGCACTATATACAATAGCCAAGGCATGGGAGCAACCTAAATGTCCATAGACAGATGAATGGCTAGAGAAGATGTGGTATGTATATGTGTGTGTGTGTATACACACACACACACACACACACACACACACACACTGGAATACTACTCAACCATAAAAAAGAATGAAATAATGCCATTTGCAGCAACATGGATGGACCTAGAGATTATCATATTAAGTGAAGTAAGTCAGAGAAAGACAAGTATCATATGATATCACTCACATGTGGAATCTAAACAAAATGATACAAATGAACTTATTTTACAAAACAGAAATAGACTCACAGACATAGAAAACAAACTTATGGTTACCAAAGGGATACCAGGGGTTGGGGGAGACATAAATCAGGAGTTGAGGATTAACGTATATATGCTACTGTATATAAAATAGGTAAACAACAAGGACCTCCTGCATAACACAGGGAAGTATACCCAATATCTTATAATAACCTATAATAGAAAATAATCTGGAAAAGAATATACATATATGTATAACTCAATCACTTTGCTATACAATTAAAACTAACACAATATTGTAAATTAACTATACTTCAATTTTTAAAAAATGTAAAAAAGGGAAAAAGTATAGGGGCCTTCTACCTCAGTGAAATTTCTAGGAGTCCAGTGACATGGGGCATGTTGAGTTATCCCTTCTAAGGTGAAATATAAGTTGTTACACCTGGCCTGTCCTACAGCTAAAAAGAGGCAAAATATATCGTTGGCTTCTTTGGATTTTAGAAGCAACCTATTTCTCATTTGGATGTGTTACTCCAGCCCATTTACCAAGTGACCTGAATACTGCAAGTTTTGCATGGGGCTCAGAGCAGGAGAAGGCTCTGCAACAGGTTCAGCCTTGCAAGCGGCTCTGCTACTTAGGCCATATGATCAAGCAGGTCCAATAGCGTTTGAAGTATCAGTGACAGATAAGAGATGCTATTTGGCCCCTTTGGCAGGCCCTTTGTAGGTGACTTGTAGCACAGGGCATTAGGAGTTTGGAGCAAAGCCCAAAGCCCTGCCATCCTCTGTAGATGACTACTGTCCTTTTGAGAAACAGCTCATGGCCTGCTACTGTGCCTTAGTAGAGACACAATGATTAACCACGGGCCACCATGTTATCATGTGACCTGAGCTGCCCATCATGAGCTGGGTGTTATCTGATCCACCAGCCATAACGTTGGGCATGCACAGCAGCACTCCATCATCAAATGGAAGGGGTATATACATGATTGGGCCTGAGAAGTCCCTGAAGGCACAAGTAAGTTACATGAAGGCATGGCCCAAGCACTCATGGTCCCCACTCCTACTAAACTACTTTCTTTCACCTTGTACCTGTGGCCTTATAGAGAGTTGACAGGGGAAGAGAAGACTTACCTTGTTTACAGATCGTTTTGTATGATATTCAGGTGCTACCCAAAAGTGGACAGCTCTAGCACTATAGCCCCTTTATAGTCCCTGAAGGACACTGGTGAAGGAAAATTGTCTGACTGGGCAGAACTTGAAGCATTGTACCTGTTTGTTATTTTGCTTGTGAGGAGAAATGGCCGGTTGTGTGATTATATATCAATTCATGGGCTGTGGCCAATGGTATGGCTGAGACTTGGAAGGAACATTTTTGGAAAACTGGTGACAAGGATGTTTGGGGAAGAGGGATGTGGATAAATCTCTGTGAATAAGAAAAAAAAATGTAAATATATTTGTGTCCCATGTGAATGCTTACCAAAGAGTGGCCTCAGGAGAGGAGGATTTTAATAATCAATTGGATAGGATGACCTGTTCTGTGGATATCAGTCGGCCTCTTTCCTCAGCCACCCCTGCCATCACCCACGGGGCTTATGAACAAAGTGGCCATGGTAGCATGGATGGAGGTTGTGTATGGGCTCAGCAACATAAATTTCCACTCACCATGGCCAACCTGGCCACAGCCATCCCTGAGTGCCCAGTCTGCACTGAGACTCTGATACAGCACCATTCCCCAAGATGACTAGCCAGCTGCCTGGTGGCAGGTTGATTATGTTGGACCACTTCCATCACGAAAAGGGCAGCAACTTGTTCTTACTGGACTAGATACTTACTGTGGATACAGAGTTGCCTTGTGGCTTCTGCATATGTAGCTTCTGCAAAAACTACCACCCGTGAACTTAACAGAATGCTTTATCCACCATCACAGTATTCCATACAGAATTGCAGAATTGCTTCTGGTTAAGGAACTCACTTCCTAACAAATGCAATGCAGCAATGGGCCCGTGTTCATGGAATTCACTTGTCTTATCATGTTCCCCACCATCCTGAAGCAGCTGGCTTGATAGTAAAAATATAAATATTGCTACTTTTTTTTTTTCGGTACGCGGGCCTCTCACTGTTGTGGCCTCTCCCATTGCGGAGCACAGGCTCCGGACGCGCAGGCTTAGCCGCCATGGCTCACGGGCCCAGCCGCTCCGCGGCATGTGGGATCTTCCTGGACCTGGGCACGAACCCGTGTCCCCTGCATCGGCAGGCGGACTCTCAACCGCTGCGCCACCAGGGAAGCCCGCTACTTACTTTTAAGGAGCCTAATTTCTAATCTAGTATCTTTAGTGCCTAGCACAATCCTTGCAATATAAAGGTCCTGAATAATTATTCGTTAAGTCTAATTAACCCGAAATAGAGTTTACAGAGTTACTAGAATAGATTGATTTGATATATAAAATTTGAGCATGTTATTGTTATTATGAACATGATCTCTAGCTTCTAAATATTGATAGTTTACTGGGTTTCTAAATATTTTCCTGTTGCTTTGTAAATTTGGTTTGTTTTATACCACCTTTTGGTTTGTTTAGTAGTTTTTGAGATTTATTATTTTTCCTCCCTTTGCTACCCCCTTTCCATAGTTGATAGCCATTTGCCAGTCAGATATTTTCTTTTTAATGTCTTAATATTTAAAATTTCCACTAATCACCTATTTAGTTTCTCACTTGTATCTTAAAACATAACGAGTTAGAGTCATATCTCCTTCTGCTTCAGTAACTCTGGGCAGGAAGCCACTGCTCTGGTCAAAAGTCACTTGAACCACGTCCATCAAAATCACCTAAAGTACTTAGGGAAAATGCAGTTCCCTGGGGCCCTAAATTACACTGCTGATTGTTAGAATGTGAGCGGGATAAGCACCAAGAATTTGCATCTTTAACAAGCTCTCCATGGGATTACTAAAGTTTAAGAATCATTGTACTAAGCAGTGTCCTCAACCTTTTTTCCCCTTAAGCACCTATCCCAAACACAATGCAAATATAAAAGCAGAAACCTTTGCAATTTCAAATACCTAAGACAATCCATTGATTTCACTTTCCCAAAACTACTTATATGGAAGGAAGCTAGTTTTAAAGTAAAGATTTTTAAAAGTTGAGGGAAATTTTATTATTTCATTTGTGGATTACTTCTCTAATAAATGATTACCTCAGTTAGTAGCTTTATTTCTGGTAAACTTCATCCTTTCAATATCTTCAGGTTTCTTTTTTTAGGATTTTTGCATTTGTTCTCTTTCCCATAGCGTAACATACGTGTGTGTGTAATCATAATAAATATTTTTTCTTCATTGAATATAAAATTTCAAAACATTTTAAGATGAATTGACCATGTTAGCGTCAAAGTTCATCAGTTTCATTTCTACATTTCTGCTAAGCTACTTAGAAGGTTAAACTAAAAATTTACGTTTAAATAGTTAAAATAAAATTTTCTAGTTCATTTAAAAATACTGATATTCATTGTTGTATATTCTAGGCATTTACACTGTTCGCTACACATTTCCTGGAACTATGCCATATAGATGTTCTATATCCTAATGTAGAAAACGTGCATTTTGAAGTTCAACATGTAAAGAACACCTCAAGAAATAAAGAAGCAATCTTGTATACCTACAAACTTTCTAAGGGACTTACAGAAGAAAAAAATTATGGTATTGCATATAGAAATTATATATATACACTGAAACACTACATATTCTTGTAAGACAAACTTTCTTCTCTTTACCTGACTGTCAGTCTAAGCAACTTTCCTTTTCATTCTTTTGAGTGCTTATATGATCTAAGACTGTATTTTCTATGTCAAACTCACATTTTATATATATTAAGCTTATTTTAAAACATATTAACAGTAACTATGTAGAATACAATACATGAAAGTCCCAGAAGTATAGTTTCTATCCTTAGAAAAATGTAATTAGTTTATATTTGCAAGTTATATAATGAATTGAAAATTATGTATTTCTTGGACACTCTTTCAGTAACAGCATCCCTCTGTTTTCTTCAGATTCAGGGAACTTGATAACTAAATCTTAAGTCTTAAAATGGAATGTATTACCAAATTATGTGTGTTCATAAACTTGGTTAGATATTTTCTATCTAAATCATTCTGTGACATGTAAAGTGGCACAGATTGAGGGAATTTTCAGTTGAATTTTACACATAAAGTTCCAAAACTTATTTTAGCTATGAATGTGACATTTGTGAGGGTAAAAATAGCATCTTTGTTTTGCTATTTGAAATGGGAAAATCAAATGGATAACTTAATTTGTATCAGATGTTTAATCTTTATAAGCCTCAGTTTCATCTATTAAATGGTGATATATATGGATTTGTGAAGATTAAATGAATTATCAAATACAAACTGCCTAGCATAGTGCCTAGCAATTAGTAACTTCTAAATAAATGTTAGTGTTGCTTCTGTTGCCTCTAAAGCAATAAATAAACTATTAGCACATAGTAGAAAGCCTATAAGGCATTTACACAATAAAAATCTGGGAACATGAGAATACTAGTTGGTATTTGAATTTGCATGAAGAGTCACCTACCATTATGTCTTCAGAGAAATTCTTCCCTCGTTGATCCGCTAGATAGATGAATATTCAGCTGTAGGGTTATCTCTGACTACACTTTCTTCTACCCTGAAAAACCTGTTATTTCCTTTGACCTATAAACCAACTGAATTTGTAGTTGGAAGTTCAATGTTATTACTACCATTTGATTTTTTTATTACCTCTTTTCCTTTCCCTATCATGTTTTCTGCTATCTCAGAGGTATCTTCAGAGGTAATTGATATTCTAATTTGTCTTACATGTCTTAGCAAGTAATTAAATCTCATAATTGGTAAGTTGTCATCCAGAACTTAGGGAAACTTAATTTTGAGAATTAAGTAGTTCATAAATACCTAAGAAAGGAAATTTAAATCTGTGAAGAAAAGATTAATACTGATTAAAACAAACTTAACAAAACCAGCAATAATAATATTGAAGCCCCATTCTTGATAATTTTAGGATTAAAAGCTGCAGAGGTGTCGTCACTCCCACCATCAATTGTCTTGGATGCCAAAGAAATCACAAGTCAAATAACCAGACAAATTTTGGTAAGAAACTCTTTAGCAATAAGAATTGTTTTTCAAATTCAAGAAAATACTTTTAGTGTACATTTTTATTATGGCCTCGGATCTAAATATATATAATTAATAATTAAAATATTTAAAACAAAAACCTAATTCCTAAATAAAGAAAATCCTTTTTACTTCTCAAAACTTTTTTGGTTTGATCTATTATAACTTTTCCCAGCATAACTACTAATAAGATAGGAAACAAAAGTTAAACAGTTCAGTTCCTACTTGTTACTACACTGACTTTATGATAAGAAAAGAAATCTCTATAAAGTAAGCATTAAAAATAAAAATCACTGTGCACAACATTTTCATGTCTTTTTAAATAGTTTTCAAAGCTCTTCTATCCATTATCATATATAAGCCTCATAACTCTTCATGAAGCAGTTAGGTCTAATAAAAGATAAATAATAAAGGTATTATTTTTATGTGCATTTTTACAGCTGAGGTTCATAGAGCTTAAGTGATTTGCTAGGAAGCAGTAGATCCAACACTGAATTCACATCTGTTAACTGAAATTTTGGAAATCCTTTTTCAGGTTTTTACATCAAGTTGCCTTATATTGTTTTAAGAATCCAGTGTGTTCAGTAAACTATGCTAGGTGCAGTATGAAATTTTCCTCAGTATTAACAGTTTCCTGTGTCTTTCACTCTTTCTTAACCTGCCTTCAATTTTTCTTTTGCATTCCTCAGTCTTTTGACCTCCTAGACTGCTTTTATGACTTTACTTGCCTAACTACTCCATTGGAATTCCTTCGCCAGTAATTTTGGCAGTGCTTCACTTCTAAAGAACCTCTCATTACCTAGTTCTTCAGAATTCCTCTTGCCAAATTCCAATTATGGGCAACCTCTCCAGTAGCCTTCTAGGTTTTTTTTGGATTTCCTGATGCTGCTCAAAATACATTCAGGCTAATTTTAGCCACTGCAAATTTGTATATACTAACTTTGGTTGAATATTTTACTGAATAGTTTTTTCTTCTGTCCCATTAATCTATGTGGTTTCTTATAGTAACTCTTTCAAAATGTTTCTACTCTTCCTGAGCCCTCAATAACCTTACTCTCTACAAAAAAATTTACCTCCTATATTTTTTGAGAGACTTGAGGTCATCCTGGTGAGTCCTTGAACCTTTTCCTCCTTCAGAATTCTATTTTGGAATTTCTGTTTTTCACCTATTTCTCTTCCTTCCTATTTCAGAGGAAGAGATTACCTTTCAACCTTTTTTTTTTTTTTTTTTTTTTGCGGTACTCGGGCCTCTCACTGTTGTGGCCTCTCCCGTTGAGGAGCACAGGCTCCGGACGCGCAGGCTCAGTGGCCATGGCTCACGGGCCCAGCCGCTCCGCGGCATGTGGGATCTTACTGGACCGGGGCACGAACCCGCGTCCCCTGCATCAGCAGGCGTACGCTCAACCACTGCGCCACCAGGGAAGCCCCTTTCAACCTTTTTAAGGTTAACTTTTCTACCTTCTTTCCATCTCGATTAAGATCAGTTTCTTCACCAGTTTCTTTTCTTCTTAGTGTTTTTTTCAGTGGCTTTTTTTTTTCCCTATGAATATGGTTAGGTTTTTCCCAATAAATCTTTTTTTTTTTTTTTACCTTCTCAAATTATATTTCTCTTCCTTTTACTGCCAATTTCCCAAGAGTAATCTATACTTGCTTCTTCCATTTTCCACTTGCAAACTGGATCTTGTCATCACTCCACAGAAAGTTTCCTCTTAAAAACTATTCACAAAATCGTATGGCCTTTTTTTCACTTCTCATCTTCCCTGTTCCCTCTGCGGCATTTGCCACTACCCTTCTTTCCCTTTTCATAATTCTTCCCTGTCTTGGCTACTGTGGAATTGTCCTCTCCTGGATGTTCTTATTCTCCTACCCCTTTGATGATTACTTCTTTCCTTTCTTCACTAGTGCTTTATATTATTCCACCTACCAAACAGAAGTATTCCTAAGATTTTACCGTTGTTTCTTTGTTTAAAATTCTATACTCTTGGGCTTCCCTGGTGACGCAGTGGTTGAGAGTCCGCTTGCCGATGCAGGGGACACGGGTTCGTGCCCCGATCCAGGAGGATCCCACATGTCGCGGAGCGGCTGGGCCCGTGAGCCATGGCCGCTGAGCCTGTGTGTCCGGAGCCTGTGCTCCGCAACGGGAGAGGCCACAACAGTAAGAGGCTGGCGTACCACAAAAAAAAAAAAAAAAAAAAATTCTATACTCTTGCTGATCTCACCTTTCCTCAGCCTCCACTTTCATTTCTTTTTGACTCTGAATCTATATATTTTTATCCATATTTCTTCTTGAAATCTTAATTTATGTTTTCACTCTTCAGTAGTTTCAAAATTAAATTTATCATCTTTTGAAAAATCTTCTCATCTCTTCACTTTCAGATCTCGAAGTGACCCATCAGAGCTATGAATCCTTCTTAATTACCTCTCATTAGGACTAAGCAGTAGGTTCTCTCTCTTTTCCAACCCATTCTACATACTTCTACAAGATTGTCTTCTAATGCATAGTTCTTATGTTGTTTCCTGCTCGGAAATTTTCAGTTGTGTCTTACCAAATAAAAGTTGAACTCCTTAGCCTAATGTTGAAAGTCATCTATGATTATTTCTCAAAATGTAATCTGAGGATTACCTACGTTAGAATCACCTGGGATACTGGGTACCATCCCAGATTTTCAAGGGTCTCCTGTGGCTCAAGGCTTTACATTTTTAACCAGTCTTCAGATGATTTTTAAGCAAACTAAAGTTTGTTAACTACTGCTTTATGATCTCCCTTTGTTTACTACCTCAGTGTTATATAACATTACTCAATTTAACTATAATGTACATTTCTGCCACATTGAATTACTTGTCATTTCATCATTTTGACCTGATTGTGTACCATACTTTCTAATGTGTTTGCTCTCTCTGTTTCTTCGATCTGCAATGCCCTCCCTTCTAGGCTCTTCTATCCATCAAGATTCATTTCAAAAAAAAAAAAAAAGATTCATTTCAAGTACTCCATCCTATTTAAGCTTTTCTTGACACAAGCTGGAAGTGAACTTTCTTTCCTCTGAACGTTTTATATCCCTCTTTTGGGACTTTTCATGATTAATCAGTTGCTTGTAAACATGTCTGTTTCACTGTAAGACTGAGCTTTTTGACTGCCATTATCATGTCAGGATGACATTTTTGTATGCCCCCATAGTCATGAATGCAAGTTATAGGGTCTGGAATATAGATAATAATAGATATTCAATAACTGTCATTTAAATAATAAACTGATAGTTGATCAATCAGTGTATCAAATAGATGGATGGATCAATATATGATAATCTTATTCTACCTCACGGAGTTGTATTCATTTTTCCTATAGTGAAAGTAGAGAAATATCTGGAATTCTTGCCTATTGAGAAGTTGAAGGGATTATATTTCCTTTAGTGAATGGAAACTAAGTCTTTACATAAATAGTTAAGATTGAAAATGCTGCTTCCTTTTTCTAGCTCAGGCAAAGAAATGAATGAAGAATTTTCTAGCTATACTCCCAGCCCTGAAGGCAGGTATTCAAGGACTGAATTCTAAAGGTCTTCCAAAGTACTAGAAGATTCCCATTTTAAACATTATTTCTTAGGTATCCTTAAGTATAGTTTGTATGTATAACTAAGACATAATTTCAACTAGCAATTTATGTTGCTTATTTTAAAAATGTAATTTACCCCTCAGGCAGTATTTTCTTTTAGGCTCTAGCAATCCTATATATGAACTGTTTTGAGGGACAAGCAGTTTACTGATGACCCATTCTGTCCACTAGTTTATCTGTTGGGGAATTAAAGCAGGAGATAAAGAGTAGTACTCTGAGTGACATTTAAAATTATGAATACTGCATAGCAATGAGCAGAGTGCTATTTTCCCATACCTTTTTGATGAGAAAGTGTTTGTAGAACATAACTCTGTGGATTTTCTATTACTCTTTGGTGTTGTGTTGAGATATCTGACCATTTAGCAGATTTTTTTTTTCATTGAGAAGTGGTTTTCAAGGATTAAGGATCTGTCATAAAGTAGTAAATACTCATGAGAAATGTTATTCTCCAAAATAATATATATTTCTTCTGGTACATGATTAGCTAGTTGGATGGGGCTGACTTATCCAAAGGGATTGGTTAACCATTGAGTTCTTATTTCTATGAAAGGAGATAGAATATTGCCAAAATAAAAATGATAGTATTCATATTTTAATTTTTATCTATATTTTTTCAATAACAGCAAAGCCAAAGGAGTACCCCTGAGATGGAAAGACAGAGAGCTGTGTACCATCTAGCTACTAGGCTCGTTCAAACTGCTCGAAACTCTCAATTGGATCCAGACAGTTTACGAACATATTTAAGTAATCTCAAAAAGAAGTATGAAGCAGATTTTCCCAGGGCTAAACAAGTTTCAGGAAACACTGAAGAATAATAACAACTCATATCTTATACTAATGAAATAATATGTCTTAATATGAGGAACCTAGAATTCATTTTTCCTAAGAGCAAAAGAAAGTAATATTTGCTAAATTTTGTATTTTAATTGAAAATTACATTATATTAACCTCAGAATTATCATCTATATGTTCTATATAAGAAAATATTTGTTATATAACTTAAAAATGAGAACTATTTAAAGAACTGATTTTTATGTTAGAAAAAAGTGTAACGTGATGCTTTTTTCTCATTTATGAAACTTCATGTTAAGTTTATTTATATTTACAAGTTATGGTTTAAAATGTTATCATAAATAGTTTAGCTAAAAGAAATCTTTCTTTGCAGGTCTGAAAACTTAGGCAAGGTTTTCTTTTACACTGTTATTCAGAAGGAATATTTCTTTTACATTCTTATTATGACTCAATGATTTCTTAATTAATACCCCCAAATTCCAACACTGGATGCTTCTGAAGTTTGTTAGAATGATACCGAGAATTTTAAAGTATTCTTTTGGGCATTCAGTATAGTTCTAAAAGGTGAAATTCAGCAGATAGATATTTTGTACCGCAGAGAGTGTTTCTGCAAGGAGTAGTTACCAAATAGCCAGGTGTTCCATTTTCTACTCACCAACTTCTTCTCTTTTCCCTTTTCCAAATTTTCATTTTTGACCATCTTTTTTAGGTGAGTAAACAAGGCAGCAGAAAGGTAATATTGATATGTTTGCCTTAATTTTTGGTTCACAAGGGAGCATTTTATAAAATTGTGTTTCCACAGGTATGTGGCTCACACCACCTTTTAGAGTTAACCCAGAGGTTATTCTGGTTTTATAAATGGACAAAAGAAAATGGAAGACCATCAGTTGTTCAGTAACTGCAAAGAGCTGTTGTCTTCTCAAACACCTTATTTCTATAGTTCCGTCTCAGTAGAAGACTTACTCACATAATCTCAGCCCAAAGGCCTAAGGTAGGGAAATTACTCTTGGAAACTTAAGTATCTGGAACTCAGGGTATACATTCAGTAAGCTGCAAGATTCATAGTTATTTGTATTACTGTGAATTACTATTACAAAAAATTGTTCACAGACTGATTAGGGCCCTATTTTTTGTTAATACATACATATTTTATTTTATAAAATAATACTAATATGTTTTACTTTATTCAGCATTCTAAGTACACATTAGTTGCCAGATATATTGAAAAAGTTATAATTTGAAAGATACACATAATTTCTTTGAAAAATAATTGTAAATTAGTGTTAATAATTACATTAGATATATACTAAATGTCTTATTAAACTACTTCTATTTCCTATTCTCATGTTTTAGAAATAGAGCACCACAGTATTTGAATTTGACCATTAGTCACATTTAAATTCACAGCCTTTGAAATGAATTATATTTTATGCAGTCATTCCTAAAAGCAGTTAGATAATTTAGGTTTGTGGCAAATTTCTAGAAGGTACTGAGGAGGAAAAGGGAATGGCACATTGTTTGGGAGGGCAGGGAAGAAAAGGGAGGAAGCAATAACAGGGAGAAGGGGAGCTGGCTGCAGAAGAAAAACAGGCAAGCAGAGACAGGTGTGAAGTATTAAATATGCTGAATATCATTTACTCAAATGTATTAACTTCCCTTTACATTTAACCCTAATATTAAATTCCACTAGACTTTTAAGAAATTCTTCATCATCATTCTGCAGCTTTTGATGCAAAAATGGCAGCCAACCAATTAATCCCTTTTATTTTAGATTTGGAATACTGAGATAAAAATGGGTTTATATCTTCTTAAAATTAAATACTTTTTCTTCAGTCATTTTGTGTGTTGCCGAAACATATGGAAAAGCAAATCAAATGCAGATATAAAGTCGTGGTACTGTAGGATGGAGGTGAATGCTAGGAAGACAATCCATCCTTTAATTTTCAGGTCTATTTGCTCTACTCTTCAGTACCTCTTCGCCTTTGCCTTTCTCTAAAATTATAGATCATTATCTTATAATTCAGTCTTTTAAGATAAATGTCCATAATGTTTTAGCAAACTCCTTGAATTTCCATCTCAAAGCCATTCTTTTAGTCTGTTCCACCTTTATCCTCACATAAAGTAATCTTCAAGTCTAGGGGTAAGGTATATGGGAGTAGAGGGAAAGCGCAGCTTATCCTCATGCCTAGGAAGTAATACATCTGTTTATTTTAAAATTTGCATAACAGTAAAATTAAATCTTTTTTGGTCTACAATTTTATGAATTTTGGCACATTTATGGATTCTTGGTACTACCACATTCAAGATGCAGAACAGTTCTGTCACCACCAGATGATTCCCTTAGTACTGTCCCTTTGTAGCCAAATTCTTCCCTGACTCCTAACTTTAACCCAGCAATCACTGAGTATGGTTAAGCGTTCCTTCCCTATAGTTTTGTTTTTACCAGTCATATAGCATGTAGCCTTTTGAGACTGGCTTCTTTTACTGAGCATAATGTACTTTAGAATTTATCCATTTGGTTGTGCCTTTTAATTACTGCCTGGTATTCCATTGTTTGTATGTACCACAGTTTATCCATTCACTCACCGAAGGACATTTAGGTTTCTAGTTTTTGGTGATTATGAATAAAGCTGTTATAAACATTTGTGTACAGATTTTTGTGTGAGTGTTAAGTTTTAATTTATCTAGGTTACATAGGAGTGGAATGGCCCTGTCATATTGTAAGTGTATATTTAACTTCATGAGAAGCCTGCAGACTCTTTTCCAGAGGGCTTATACCATTTTGCATTCCTGTCAGCCATGTATGAGAGGTCCGGTTTTCCCACATCTTCTTTAGTACTTGGTATATTGTCAGTTTTTAAATTTTTTTTAGCCATTCTAATAGATATGTGGTGAGTAATGCATTTAAAATATTTTAAAGCTATTCTGATCATTCTTTAGCAAGCAGTGATTTTTAAAAATCTTTCTTTTTCCTAAATTATTTTTTAGCTGCTTTTTAGTTTAACCTCTCTGGTAGCACATTTTTAAATCTTTCACTTCAAGCAAAAGTTTCAGAGTTTGGTAAAAAACTACCAAAAATATAATTCAATAATATTTATTATGGAACAGACTACGTACTAGGTGCTAGGCGCACAAAAGATGTCTGACCTTGAGGTAGGCTTTTCAGGTGTAGTTAAGAAAAAAAACGCATGTAGTAGGGTTGGAACACCATGTGATAAGTATGATAATAGAGGAACATAAGAAGGGTAGTAGCACAAAAAATGTTTACAGTTCTTTCTGGGTCAAGGGAGTTTAAAAGGTAGTAAAATATGTCAAGTGTTCAGGAAGGGAAGAGCATTTTAGATAAGGATCAGCCTATGTAAAAGCAAAGAGATGTGAAACAGTAAGCAGCTTGGTTTAGCTGGGGGATAGAGTGCATATGAGAGAGTGGCAAAAAGATGAAGTAAGGGCTTTATATCAGTTTCTTCTTTAGATGACTGCAGAGTTTTAAGGTCTGTTGCTGGAGAGTGGAAGAGGGTGGTGGTGGTGGTAGAGGAATAACATGATAAGATTTCCATTTTAGAAAGATCATCTGGGTGGTAGCATAAATGGTTTTGGGATGTGTGGTTGAAACCAAGGAGACGAGATAGTTTAAGAAACTCTTTCAGTAGTGCAGAAGAGAATTGATGATTAAGGGTAGAAACAGTGAGAATGGAACAGGGTTGTGTGTGTGTGTGTGTGTGTGTGTGTGTGTAAAGGAGGAGAATGGAGAGGATGGAGTGGCTGGTGGAGGAGAGAAGACATTGATTTGAAAGATATTAAGGAGATTTAGTGCTGATTAACCAGATTTAGCGATTCATGACTTACCGATTTTTTAGTGAGGGGAAGGTGTTATGGATTGAATTGTGTCCCCTTGAAAAAGATTCGTTAAGTCCTAACCCCCTGTACTTCAGTATGTGACCTTATTTGGAAATAGGATCATTTCAAATGTATTGATAATTAGTTAAGATGAGGTCATACTGGAGTAGGGTGGGCCCCTGATCCAATATGACTGGTGTCCTTATAAGAAGATTGCCATGTGAACACACAGAGACTCAGGGAGAATGCCATGTGAAGATAGAGGATTGGAGTGATACATCTACAAGCCAAGGAATGCCAAAGATTGCTGGAAAACCACCAGAAATTAGGAAGGATTCCCCTACAGTTTTCAGAGGGTGTGTGGTTCTGCTAACACCTCAGCTTTAGGCTTCTGGGCTCCAGAACTGTGAGACAATAAATTACTGTTGTTTTAGCCTCCTAATTTTTGTACTTTGTTATGGCAGCCCTAGCAAATTAATACAGAAGGGAAGAGTTAAATATGATTCTACGTGGTGATACCATCAACCATGTTGAGAAATATGGAAATAATAAGAATTCCAGTAGAAGGAAGTTTGAAAGAATTCCCTGACGGTCCAGTGGTTAGGACTCCGCACTCTCACTGCCAGGTTCCCGGGTTTGATCCCTGGTCCGGGAACTAAAATCCCACAAACCATGTGACATGGTGCCCCCCCCCCCAAAAAAAAAGAAGAAGAAAGAAGTTCCAGAAATTTAGGTGCTGCTTGTTGCCCACTCTCTAGCATAGGTATGAGCCATGTTCAGTAGAAGTGATGACTAGATAAAATTCATTAAGCTCTGTTAGAGTGGATGGAAATTAGGGAATAAATGTAAAAAGATTTGCTAAAATATTTGCCCAGAAGAATCACTTCATCTAGATGAGCAATCTAGTTTTTCTTTATAAGCTAGATTAAGGTTTTTTTTTTTTTAACTTTCTTCATGTTAACACATATTTCCAACTAAAATAATTATCATATGCTACTGGTAAAATATTCAAATATTAATACATTGTGTGTTGTTTGAACTTCCTATATACTTATTTATGATCTTAAAATATGCTCAATCATAATTAAATGTGGTTTAAGTGTAATAAATAAGCATTTCTATAATCCAACCCTGTAATGCAGTTAAGGGAACGAATGTGGAAGGAGAGGAAAAGCAAGTGATCTAGTTATATTGTTACTTGGCTATTTCCATTCTGTTCTTTAGAAAGTTAAATCACACAATTGTTTTGTCTTACTATAGGACCAAAATGAATACCCTTTTCATATGAATTGTCAAATTTCGATAGTCCCCAGATTGCAGATAGTGAGGATGGATGCTGTCTACCATAATCTACTGAAATCGATCTAAATGCCGTGATGAGGTGGGGAACAGATCCTCGTTGTCAAGGACTGTGAAGTGTCTAAGATTTTTACCTTAACTTGCAAACTAGCAGTTTAGCTTACCATACTGTTTTCTGTCAGAAGACAAAAGACTGGGTCAGAAACGAAGGACTTTATTACTAGTGGCACAGCATGCAACATGAGC